CTCTCTCTCTCTCTCTATCTATCTATCTATCTATCTATCTATCTATCTATCTATCTATTTCTATTTTCCCCCTCCCTACATTCTCTCTTTATCTCTCTACCTCCCTCCCTCCCCCTTTCACTTACTCATACCTCTCTGGCTTTCCCTTCCTCCACCCTGGCAGCCTTAGTCTGTACAGAAAACTCTCACCTGCTAGAGTCAGTATTGTCGTGTGTATAGACCACTGTGTCTCACCTGCTGGAGACAGTATCGTCGAGTTGATTGATTGATTGAGTGATTGAGTAGGTGTTTTACGGCACTATCGACTCAATTTAGGTCATTTATTGTCGTGTGTACAGACCATTGTGTTTCACCTGCTAGAGTCAGTATCGTCGAGTGTATAGACCACTGTGTCTCACCTGCTAGATTCAGAATCGTCGTTAGAATAGACTTTCTCTTACCTGCTAGAAACAGTATCATCGTGTGTATAGACCACTGTGTCTCACCTGCTAGAATCAGTATCGTCGTGTGCATAGACTGTCTCACCTGCTAGAGTCAGTATCGTCGTGTGTATAGACCAGCCTGCCGGCCTGTACATCGGCCATGGAGAAGATGACGGCCGGCTGACCGCTGACAGAGATGGTGCCGTGCTGCAGGCCTCCCTTCACGTAGATCCGCACGCGGTCAATGTTGTCTTTGTCCACGACCTGTACGGACAATTTTTGTTTTAGTAAGAGTTTTACGGCACTTGCAACACAATAAAGTCATATAAGTGCCGAAGATTAGAGGTGTTTAAAGAAAGTAACATACAAAAAAATAGAAGGAGGGGAGATAAGGAAGATATATGTTCGATAGGAAAGAAGGAGCAAACAACACCAGAGCACCCGCCAACCACCCACGTGCACGGACAAGTATACGGGAGGAAGGAAAAAATAAAATAAAGAAAAGGACTGTTGAAGTTTTACGGCCGCGTCGTCACAATTTAGATCATTTAGGAGGTGGGTTGCTTCCACTCTGCCTGTCTACACCAACGCAGGCTGAGAGATACACAACGTCACTGCAGAAAGACCGAGATACTGGTGGAACACCCCCCCCCCACACACACACACACATACACAGGAACTATACTCACGTCTTCTGCATGTCAAGGGCTCAGATGGGTGAACAAACTGACAACATATAGGTGAACAGACAACAGATAGGTGAACAGACAACAGATAGGTGAATAGACAGACAGAAAGGTTAGCAGACAGATAGGTGAACAGACAACAGACAGGTGAACTGACGGACAACAGATAGGTGAACAGTCAACAGATATGTAAACTGGCAACAGATAGGTGAACGGAGAACACATAGGTGAACAGACAGATAGGAGAACAAACAATAGATAGGTGAACAGACAGACAACAGAAAGGTGAACAAATAAATAGGTCAGGGACCGACAGACAAACAATCAGATAAATAGACACATTGAGCGATGAGTACCGGAACAAAAAAAAATGACTTACATATTCTTCAATATTGGATTCTATTGTCGCTATTTACATCCTTATATATTATATTATATTA